CCAAGGTGCAGTTTCGTAGTAATGGATGGACCTATTTTGACGGAGTGGAAGAGAGTCGACGTCTATGATCACCATAGAGTACAAAATCTATCTGCATGCGCATCGTTTCAAACCTTTTTGTGTAATTTCAATCATAACCAGTGTATACAGGATGCGAGAGATTCTCTTAAAACGTCAAGTTTATCACCGCGAAACCATTCGCCTGCTATTAGTCTTTCATATTTTTAGATAACTTAAAAGCAACATAGAATATGAATACTCTTTTCTCTTTCGTATTAAATTATCACGTTTGTTCATTCACCAGTTATATGTTCTGCAACGGTAGTGCGTGGCATGAAACCGAAAATGAAATGACGGAGAATTTTTAAGTTATATGATTATTGATTTATAAAGCATGATTGAACCACTTGAATTTGATGTTAACAATATTGAACAAATTATTTTGGAATTTAAGCCTAAATAATTTATTCTTCCTTTTTTTCTGTAGATTTTGCATGTGATTCAATGCTCAGAAAGCTCGTATTTCCGCGTCTGGTCATTCCTGGCGAGTCTCAAGGAAAAATAAGTTTCCTAACGAAACTCAAGAGACATCCAGTTCTCTTGGCTTGCCTCTCTTCTGGGTTGCTTTACCGCAGCTATGTGATGTTACCACACCCAGGCATATACCGAACACAAAGACCAGTTAGCGCATCTACCCTCCCTGCACACGGACAATTCATCCTGTATTCAGAGGGCCAAAATGGAACTGAAGCCGTGGTTGGCAACGCCAAAGCTAATCGGCTGGAAAAATTGCGGCAAGCAGTTGAGGAGCAGATTCCCCAGTTTTTGGAAAAATCTTTCTTTGAATTTCCATCCGATCTTGTTGACAACAACACAGTGCTTTACGTCGAAAGAAGAAACGGCAGTGTTCACAAAATCAGGTATCCAACTCATGCCGAACACTTACGAAAACCTCAGGTTCTTCTTAAATCTGCCAACCGTGTTTGAAAGTGTCACATATTGTTCAACTGTTGTTCAAATCAATTTCAACTGTAGTTCAGCTTGTAGCTAACATCGCGATACAAAGCCACCCTAAATAAACTGTCAGATGGATCGAAAATCATAGTTTCTGGTAGATCAATTTTGGTAGACAGCGACAGCTTTTCTAATGATAGTACATATGCCACAACGTATTAAGAAAGAAATGTAAAAACGGTTGAAATACAAATCAGTATATGCGTTTGGCACCTTCACAGATTGTTACCAGCCGTGTTGGCTAACGTCTCAAGCCATAGATATTCACCTTCCTTGGGCACCTAGAGCTTTCTGTCACGAATTTTGATGTTAACGCCTTCATTGTTCGAACTTAGGTTATTTGTTGTCTACCTTGTCGCCGCATCTAGTTCGTCTCCGCTTGCCCAAACGTAACACAGCGGAACAGTCCTCTTACCGGCATCCGCAAGGCATGTCCCAGCCACATCAATCTCTGGAGCGAGATGGCGGCACTTAGAAGACCACTTAGATTGTCCGAGGCGAAGATTCTTCGACGAACCTCATGGTTGGTGATTCTCTGTTGCCAACGTATTCGAGCAACTGGACGATCAATGCTGAGGTTAGGTGCAGAGTTTTAGGTAACCGCGGTCGCGCACCGAAGCAAGTGGTCGACCTCCATAGATTGGTTGGGTTGGATCATGCGTTACGCATATCACCAACTAGTTTGGCATGGCGCGCGATGTTTGCCATGGCAAATAGTGGGTGGAACAAAACCGAGAGTGGTTAAAGTAAGACCTAGCACGAGGGTATGGAAACCCTGACTAGTAGACTTACCCCCATAGGCTGCGTTAGGCCCCTTGAACGTGGTACCTGGGGACCTCGGGATCATTGTAATCAATAGTTATAGACACTGAGTGATATGGCTGAGTGTCATAAACATTGACGTTCATCTATCTCAATTTCTTTGCATCCTTAGTCCACTGAAATTCTCCATTTTCTATTGGACTCTACTTTCAGCTTTGCTGTCTTCCTCCCACCAATTCATCCGAATGGGCAATCAAAAGACAGCAAAAAGACTGGCACACGAAAGTGCATGGTTAGTGGTTGTACAAAATGAAAACTCTGGCAATGCAATAAAGGCAACGGTGGTCAAAGACACTTAATCTCCCTTGTTCTACGTGAAGGAGCGAGCTCTCGCAGCCGTAGAATAAGACTGCGCATTGTAAACATGGTCTTCCAAGGTGAGACCAAAGTGGCGTAGACTAGCGAAAGCCAACGGAACCTTGCGGATACGTATTGATATTTCTTCTGTCAATTTCCTTGAATTGAAACAATTCCCAAAATAGATACTGACCGAAAATTCCTAGCTGGTCGCTCATGAGCGTGAGGTTTTGTGTAACCTTTTACCTCTTGTGGTAAAACCTTATATTTCGATGGAGGGAAAGTCATCTCAAACCTCGTGACGGAAAACGCTAACTTAGGACGTTTTGGGCGTCTTGGGAGGAGTTGCAGAGTATAACGAGGTTGTTTGCATATTCCAAGTAACGGAATCAATCACCCGGGAGAAGCTCCGCAGTTTTCTCGAGCGCTGCTTAGGATTTATCCATCGTGAAATTAAAGAGGAAGAGTGAAACTGGGCACCTTTGTCAGACTCCACTTGCGATCATAGATCCTGACGCTACCGGATGCTTTTGAGTAAACGGCTTCCTAAAAGACAAATCCA